ACGTCCCTCCACTTGCACCAACAAATGCTGACCAATTCTACAGCCTGTAAATCAGTAATTGGCATTACTAAGGCTGTGTTTGTAAGCTTTTGGGCTTCCATTTCCATTTTATTTTTGGGAAAGATGTTTTGGGAAAAGAATTCGAAAATAAATATAGTTTGTTTGTGTTTTGGGAGGAGACAATTTATACTGTAGCAAGTCAAATCATGTCTGAAAGGTGTTGGCAAAAGGTATTTTGGAAGAAGAATTTAAAAGATAAAGTGATTTGATTTTGTATTTTAGTGAAGACAATTTTCACTGTAGCGGTCAAATCATGTTTGTTAGAGAGAGAAATATTTGAATTTGTTTTGGGGAAAGTTTTTTAAAATAGTGTAGAAAGATAATTTTCATTTTGGGGAAAGTGTGAAAATAATTTGAAAACGGTAACAAACATAGCCTAAAAGTTTATAACCACTAGTTGAGCCCGGATTTAAAATCCGACAAAGGAGACGAATGTATTAAAAAAATTATGAGAGAGGGCCGTTATGCTATTATAACCTTTTTTTTTAATTTTTATTATAAATAATAGGGGTTGAAGAAGTAAGGGGGGTTTACGTCTCCTTTAATCCTATGCTGGCTACGCCACTGACTATAACACACAAATTATATACAATTAAACATATAAATTAATATAATCCTGACAATCAAGATTTTATTAATTTAACGAAATATTAAATTATCGAATTAATGATATATGATATTTTTAGCGAATTGAGACTGAAAAAAATATTATTTAAACGAGTTTTTAGTTCAAATATTAATTTATTAATATTCCGCTGTATAACTACAAATTTAAATTGGATAAGAACAGTTAATTCTAGTTTCGGCCTTCAAACCTACGTGCCCAAACGTTTGTATAGCCCAAAATTTTGAATCATTATTAATTAATTGTTTTTTTTTTTTTTCTTTTTCTTACATTAAATCAAGTGCCATAATACAAGAAATAACAAAGTACTCCCCCGTTCTCTATTAAGTGTCGTTTTTTGCTTTTCACAAGGATTAAGAAGCTCAATAAATGTATCTTGATTTTAGGTACAATATATTAAAAAGACTAAAATAACCTTGATTATTTAATGATGTGATAAGAGAGAGTTAATACTTCTAGTTGAACTAATAAGGTTAAAACAAGAAAAAATGAATTTAATGCATTATTGGAAATCTAAAGTGACATATAATATGGAACAAAAATATTTAAAAAAAAAAGACAGTTATTATAGAAGAAAATGAGTATTATTTTTTTTCTTACATTAAAATCATATAGCACTTGAACCAACTTATCCAATAAAACTCTACAAAAAAATAGCAAAAAAAGAAAAGAAAAAAAAAGTGGGGTTGTTTACAATACAACCTACGAATGCTTCCCATATTTATTTGTCAAAAGAAAACAATGCACCATATATATATATAGATAGCTATAAAGATTCATCAGAGAATATATATATATATATATAGCT